GTATTAGAATATTCGAATTGTCTGAATAAAGAATTTGTATTCGAAATTATCGAATTATTCCAATAAAGAATTCGAAATTATCCAGTTATCCCAATAAATAAATCGAAATTATTGAATTATCTGGATAAAGAATTCATATTCGAATATTCGAATTGTCTGAATAAAGAATTTGTATTCGAAATTATCGACTTATTCGAATAAAGAATTCGAAATTATCCAATTATCGCAGTAAGGAAATCGAAATTATTGAATTATCTGGATAAAGAATTCATATTCGAATATTCGAATTATCTGAATGACGAATTCGTATTCGAAATTATCAAATTATCCCAATAAAGAATTCGGGTTCAAAATTATCAAATTATCCGAATAAAAAATTCGTATTCAAATATTCGAATTGTCTAAATAAAGAATTCGTATTCGAATTATCCAAATGATGATTTCCTATTCGAATATTCAAATTATTATTGTACATTTTAATTTACTCTGTGTGACATTAAGATAGTTTAATATAATTACATAAATCTAAGATTGGACAAGATTATCAAAAACGTGTAGCAACATTTTAACAAATGAGTTATTCCAATAATTTAAAAATTCCTTCTCTCTAACAGTCTACTTTTTTTTAAATACATTTCTGCTTAACAAAATATGAAATATTTTTGAACGCCTTTGAAGACACTTCACCCAACAAGCGCAGCTCTTTTCGAAAACATTTTTCAACCATTTCAAAAGTACAAAATTATATCTACTCGATCACATTTTACTTGTACCGCATTTTCAACTTTAGTTTTTTCTTGTTTTATTTTTTTGTTTTTGTTTCGAATTTTACACGCAGAGAGAACAGAGAAGGTGAACACGATCGCGAATCGTTGGACTAGAATTTGCGATTGAAGTTTTTGTTTATCGACTGCTGCAATATTTGCTTTGTTAGAGCATTCGATAAATTGTTTTCACATAGAATTTCATACTTGAAATAGCTTGATCATGCTATAACATTCAGTCTCGCAGAGAAGAGTCGAACAATGATTACATTTTATCGTTTCTTTCGTGCACGATACGATTTGCATACGGAATATTGCATATAGAATTCGCAGTGGAATATTTTTAAGGGAAGGCAAGAAGCACCATAAAACGATGCGATAAAAAAAATGGTGGAATGAACGCGTAAAAATACGCGATGTCGCGATACAATGTGAAATGTTCGCCAAAGTAAATGTGAAATAAATTTCAACCCCTAAATCTGAATACTCTAACCAAAAAGGATTCAACTTACACGAATGAGAGGCTGTAGTAAAAATTTCATTTACGTCAAATATTAAGGAATATGAATATTTCAGATTTAAAAGCAGCGTGTAAATAGATATTCTCAAATCCAAATTTGTCTTCTTTTCAAATCAAATTTATTAATA